TGGAAAGTCAATAGTGACATATATGTGCAGAACTGCTTTATTCTCAATTACCCTCTATACCCTCTGCAATGGGGGTTTTTCCCACAGCTTTCCCCAGAGGATCAGCTAACACTGTGATGGATCACGTGCACGGATAAAGGTACTTGCCATCAGGCTGGCATTGGGATATGGTGGAGATCTGAGTTTCATGGTGCAATTAGCTGACTGGGGTGTGGTGATACTATAATCTAAGAGCAACCAACACCCATGCAGGGCATGTTTTGGCCACCTGCTCTTAGTGCACTGATGGGTACTGGTGCTTGGGCCACCACGCCCTGCGGCCAATTCTGACATTATAATGCCTTTGCCACTGATAAAACATAAATAATAGTTTTGTGGAGATAAAAACAGCATGTTCTTGTCCCTCCTTGTTCAGGCTGGTGATAAGGGTTGGTTGATGGCATGGATGGGCCTTGCTGGAAGGCAGGTTGTTGGTACCCCCATTGTGGCAGCGCTTACAGGGTCCAGCTGGCGGCATGAGATGGGGCAGCCTTGTTCAAATGGGTCATTTTGCATTGTGTAATCCTTTGTGTGCTGTGCCTGTGGGCTTGCTGCTGCTCTTCTCACTGTCCACGGGAAACTAATCTCAGGACAGATTTTTCATCCTCTGTTGAAATTCTGCTGCTTCAGCAGCCCAGTGACAGTCATTGTCTTCTGTTTCCATGTGTGAGTTGAAGCCAGACCCAGAAACATTCTACTTTGTTTCTGAACAATGGGACTGTGATTTTTGCATGACGATTCCGGCTTGTAGCTGGTGTGCCATGCTCTGCTTCTAACCATGGCCCACGACTGGTGCTCAGTAGACACTAGAAAATACCCACAATGAATCTAGGCAGTTATGCAACTCTGCACATGAAGTAAAATTCCTTTCTAACCCCTGCAGGCAATCAGTTTACACCCTGAATGATGAGATTTTGATTACCCTTATCTAAGCTACAAATACTGTTAATGGCCATGAAATCAGCTAGCTCTGTTAAGGCCCATCAAAGCACAGATCTTGGTGGCCTTCTGAGCCTGCAAGTCCTTTGCAGCTCCATGGGATGTCATGGTGCTGTGCCGTGGGAAATCCCATCACTATGCAGATGTTATTTGCTGAGGCCCTGTAGATCAAAACCCAACCACCTCCAGCACAGCAGTTTTTAATGAGCAAATACTGCCCTGGAAAGTGTTGACATTGGGATCGGCAGGCTGCTTCCTCTGAGTTGGTGGGAAGAGCTTGCTGCTTCGATGCAGAGACTGGTTCCAGCATCCTGTTGCCCCAGCCCCATATGGTATGTGTTATAGCTTGGGGAGCAGTTTTGCTCTCCCATCGAGCACACTTCCCAGGGCAGCTCCATTCTTCTGTGAACAAAAACTGTCAAGCTGCAGGGAGGCTCCTGGCGGGAAGGTGGGACCCTTCCCTGGGCCAGGCTGGGAGTGCTGCATGAAACAAGACTGGGTGGTGTGCTGGATGCTCACAGATGTGTCTTTCCTTTGATTTTCTGTCCTACATTTCATATCCGGAAAAAGAGCATAAGAAAAGATCCAATTTGAGCCAGAATTCCTTGTACCCTTCAGCCTGGCAGGAGGGAGGGATTGATTAGCTGGTAGGTTTTTGAAGCTAGCTGAGATCAATAAGCCTGGTCAGTCCAGTGTGCTGTGCAAATCAGACCACAGATCATACTTGTGATTCCTGTACCAAGCCTGCCTGAGAGATAGCACTGTTGTTGTGACTTGCAGGAAGATCTCTCACACCACTGGGATGAATGCCAGTGGAAGACCAAGGATGAAGAGACTGAAATAGGTGTGACCCAGAGGATAATGTGGCCTTCTGCATCTTAATATACCCACCTGTGAAATGCAAATAATAACAGGGGAACCTTGTAGGGATTCATTAGTGCTTTGAAGATGGCATGCGTTACGTGCTATTCCTGTGATCTTCCAAAGTTAGCCTTGTCCCTGCCTTTCGGATGTGCACCACTCGTGGTTGCTCACTTCCTGATTCACTTCCCCCTCCTCCCCAGCATCTTCAAGCTAAGTCAGCAGTGGCAAAGGCCTGTCCAGGACAGTCAGCACCATGCTGTGGTGGCTCACGGCCTGGGAAGGTGCAAAGGCAAGCCCATGCTCTTGTTCAAGCCTGGATTTGCTGTGATTGTACTGCAGATGTGGCAAGGAGACCTGCTGTGCATGTCACCAACATTTCATGCTGGAGTTTGTGCGACTGACACATAATACAGTCTATAATCTGTAGTGTTTTTTATGGGTTTAGAACTAATCACAGTAAAGAGATTTTGGCATGAAAGGGCATGTGGTGACAGGGAAGGTCATGATCCATGGGATGCTGGGTCCGGAGGAGGATGCAGTGCATGCTGGGTTGAGGCAAAGCTGTTAGATGCTTTCCATGCATTGGGGTGTATAAAACATATTCAGATTAAACTTTTCCACATCCTGTCCTTTTGAAGCAGCAAGTTGTGACAGATTCTTCTTGGAGAAGCTTGCTGCCATACCGTGGGCATGTTTCTGAAACTTCTTGCTGCCTCTCTATGCACTGTAATGCGCAGGACTTGCTATGCAACTGAAGTTCTCAGAGGCTGACAAAGTCAGGAAACTCCCATCATTTTTCTGGCTTCCAGCTCTCCTTTGTGAACTGGCAGAGAGGGAATAGTGCCCCACGATGCTGAGAGTTAACACGACAGCTGTTGCATTTACAGCAATGCAGCCAGGTGGCGTGCAGAGTCAGCTGCTGGGATGCTGAGTTGAGCTGCATACCCAGCACAAGGGTTGTAAATGAGCAGCCACTTGGGAAGGACACTTCACTGGATCAGAGCAGTGGAGCTTTGTTTTTGTTCAGATAGTTCATGCTGGCCGAAGGGAGAGGATCATGATGTAGACCCTGGGTAACTGTGGTGTTGGTGGGATTTCAGGACTTGCTTCTTTGGAGGTCTGGGCAAACCTTATATGAGAACTGTTGTAGCATTAAGTACAAACAGGGGAGCTCTGAGGCATTATGTTGCAGTCTGGAAACTCAAACACGTTTCCATTAGCTTGGGGTTGACTGTCTTGTTGGCTGACCACTTCCTGGGTTTTGACTGTAGAAGTGGGTGCGAGCCAAAGAATGTCTAGTGTCTTACATTTTGTTCTTGCATGGGATGTGTGCAGATCTGGTGTCTCCCAAACTGTGCTGAAGAGATGGATGAGACTCACGTCTCTTGTAGCGTGAGGTGGGTGCATAACTGAGTATCTCTGGAGGGGAGGAAGCCATTCTAATGTGGTGACAGCAGAAATATGTCCTCTGAGGCTCTAAGCGAGGCACCTAGGAGCACAGAATGGGGGCAGTCAACATGCAGAGATGCAGCCCAAAATGCTGTTCTGCCTTGCAGTGTTACATGTGACAGCACAATGCTCTACCCTTGATGTTCACTAATTGAGAGCTTCAGATGAGCCCAAAGAAGCTACAAGAAACCTTTTGTTCTCAATCTTAAGTGTTAACAGTGCTGAGAGGCTGATTAAAAATGGGAAAGTGTCTTTGGAGTCCTTGTGCTTTGAAATACCTTGCTCTGGAGGTGCAGCTCATACTGCAGTGCCGGAGCTGAGAGCTCTGGACTCTGCTTTGGCTGGAAAGCAAAATATAATCTGCTCTACATTTGGTTTGTTAAATATGCCGAACAGCTATGTCTCTTCTCTTTTAGCCCTGAGGGCTTCTGGCTTGAGAAAGAGATGTAGTGTTGGGCTGGGAAAGAGAAGTTTCAATATTTTAGCGAAATAAGTGTCTAGTGCTGGTGTGGATACAACCCCTCTGAGAGGGGAAAAGAGATGGTAGGGAGGTAAAAATCATGCAAATTAGAACAGAAAAGGACAGCTCTGATGGGAATAACGTGTAGTTGTATTAAATATGTTAGTTTCCCTACTCGCATTATTTCTCATTAGACATGAAGTTCATTTCCCTGGAACAGAAGCAGAGCAGTGGGAGCTGATCTCACAGGGTGTCTGAACTGGTGGGGAGTGGTGATGGAGGAGCAGTGATGGAGCAGGAGTTGACAGAGAGCTCTGGGACCATTGAGGCTGTGCTGGGGTGAGCTTGGCTGGGACTCAGCAAGAGAGGGGAGGAGCTCTGGGCCCTGCAGGTGAGCAGGGCTGGCAGCATGCAGGCGTGTGTTGCATTTCTATCCTCATCTAAGGACCCAGCAATGACATTAGGTGAATTCTCCTTTACTCATTGAGAGCCATGATAGTGGTGCTGAAGCCACAGCACTTTTTGCAGGGATGAGGGGTTTGCAGTGCAAAAAAAAAAAAAAAAGGTAAGTTTTAGCACTGCAAGAGGAACAGTCCCTGGGAGAAATTCCAAACTAGGAGGTGAAACATGGCTTTGTTCTCATTAGGGCTCAGTTTACACCCTCAGTAGTGATTTTGGAGATTTCAGCCAAAACACAATGTCATTCTGGGGTGAGAATGGTGCTGCCCAGCTCCCACTCTTGGGCATGGAGCACACCCTCAGAGCTGCTTGGATGGACACTGGCACCCTTCTGGTGAGCAAATACCAAGGCAGAGAATTTAAGTAGGTATGCTGCCAGGAAGCTTTCCCTCAACTAAAACATCCCCAGGTGATACATAACCTACTGGGTTTCCATCTCACAAGAGTTTGCCTAAATTTCATGTTGCTCAGCCTTTTTTCCTCTCTTGTGTTTTCCCAGTTGCTCCTCCATGATTATTTTTATACCATTTCCCTTTTTTTTTTTTTTTTCCTAACTGGGGATGTAAGATAACAGACTTAATGAGAGCTGATCTACCTGGGATGGCATCATTTATAAACTCTTTACTTTTCTTCTGGAATTGAAGCTGAGAAATAAACAAAAGTGTTTTTGCAGCATCTCTTTCTCCCAGCTGCTTTCCTCGATGGCTCAGCACTCTTCAGCTTTAAATCAAGATTACTGAGATGCCATAGCAAATCTATTGCTAAAGCATCAGGATCTTCTCTCCTACAGCACATCTGATCCTGCAATGTGAAATCCCAAGGAAATGAATGGGCTGACTGGATTTCAGTGCAGGACTGAGACTGTATTGCGTAAATCCATCAATAAAGGTAATCAAGTACATAATGCAAGGTTTGTTTAATGCACTCTTGCTGTCATGCCTCTTTCTTCTGCTTGGGCTGCTTCTTGCAATTCAAGTACACCAGAACAAATCGTTTAAACTCTATGGGTTTGTGGAATTCTCCCTGTCCCCTTACATCACGTTTTGTACTACTGATTTGTTTTCAGGTGGCTGTAATTGGGAAGAAGATCATCTCTTTTTTTGGACATTTTATTCTGGTTTTGGAACTTCTGATGTTGGTGTGGATTTGAATGGTGGGACAGGGTGCAAGGGGTGGGAGGATGGAATGAGAGGCAGCGATCATGGGGTTGTTCCAGGGTCAGGATCTGGATCTCTTCCACCTTCCTTGACTGCTTCCATCCTCCTTTTGCTGCCAGGGCCAGGATTTGCTCTTGCTTGGTCAGTCCAACTGTGTCTGGTACACAGGGTACTTCTTTCTGGATCAGGATGGTCAGCCAGTTGTCTTAAATCAACACGCTGTTTTACTTCTTTAGAAGAATAGAGCTTTTAGTGGAAAGATGATCTTAAAAACAAAACCCGTCTAAAGATGCGCCTTCTCTACCACTCTGTGGCTGATTCATGGGAGGACACCTCAGTAACCAAGAATGCCCTTTGTTTTTGTTCTCCAAATAGGATACTATGCACTTTTAAACTACCATATCCTTGTTTGCTCTTTTCGTTGTCGTTCTTTTTCAATTTCTCTCAAGAATTTACTGAGACGTACCATATCAGGCTAGTTGTCTTTTCTTCCCTTTGTCCTCCCCTCTAATTCCACGCCTGAATATGCTTACAGAAACCATACCATGATTCAAGTCAACACACAGCTCTTTAGATCTTCCATTAACCATCTGTATGACCACAGGCAGTTTTCTTTCTCGAGTTCACTGCTGTGAATCTGCATGTGATCTAATTTTTTTTATTTGAAAAGAAACGTTAAGGATGACCACACACCAAATTAGGTCTTTCTACTCACTTGGCATTGGCTTCAGTTTTAAACACTAGCAAATATTCTGATTTGGGAAATGTGGCAGCAATTTATTATGAGGATTTATACTTGAGTTGAGCTGTGTTGGTGCCTCTGGCCAAATGCATATATCATGCAAAAGTATGGTTTTTTTTTCTTTTTTTCTTCCTTCAGATAGCGCTGACCTGCCTCTCCTGTGCAGCCTCTGCCTGCTTGCCCATGCTCAGGACTCTTGTGGCTTTGGTCTGCTGGGCTGCCGTTTATCTGCGTCGTTCAAACCTTGTAAATGACTTTTCTCTCACATTTTATTTGCTTTTTCTAGATAACAATACACCTGGCTCCTTCCCATGTATTCACATTCTGATACTTTGATTTCATCTTTTTCTTTTCATGCGTCTACTGAGAATCTCTGTCCTATGGAACAGTAACCTTCATATTTCATCATTTCTTTGGGAGAGGCCTAAGCAGGGCTGATTGGTCTCCCAAGTGCCAGGTGTGCTGAGAAAAGGTTTTTCATCAATAACACTGCTCTTCATTCTGAAGATAACTGGGAGAGATGAGGAAGGGATGAGGATTCTGCAGTAAGCTTTTTCTACGTGACCTGTAAGAGCAAATTTGAAATATTTCAACAGGACCTCAAGCAAGTTTTTCAAGCTTGTCTGAATGCTTACTATTTAGGTTCAAACAGGATTGCTTTTATAAAAACTGTCCACCTTCCAGAGGTCTTGACTGACCCAGTCTTTCCATTGTCTACTGGGACAAAATAGCTCAAACAAAATCCTTCCAGCTTATTTTGAGATATGAAATGGTATTTATGGTATGCCAGAGTGATACCTCTGTCTTACAAACCATTCTAAATATGGGAAGAATTCCCCTCTCTATGTGTAAGGGAAAATGAAACGATCCGCTTGTAATTTTCTTACCTTGACAAAATGCAGGGAGTGACTCAAATATGTCCCATCCTTATGGAAATTAATTGTGTTAATGGGATGATTAGAATTTAAAGCTACTGTCATCAGACTGGTTTTTGTGGCTAATGATGGTTCTTGGGAAGATTATGTCATAATGAAGGCGGAGAACCTGGTCATCTATATATATGTGATCTGACCTGAGCCTTTTCTTTGGGTCTCATTGAGCAATGCGCCAATAGAGGCAACATAGGCGAACAGCTGCCACCCTCACCATGAAAATAGAAGGTGCTTCGGTGGTCCTTGCTCTGGCTTTTTTCTGCTTCTTCTCAGGTTAGTAACCTCTGATGCTCTCTGTGCTGGAATCTGGCAGTGGAACAGCACTTAAAGACAGTGAAATAGAGGATTAGAGAGGCAGTGCTGTTTAAAATCAGCAGTGATGTAACCAGAAGACCACTTTTTTTTTTTTTTTTTACTGTACTACTCATGAGACTGATTTTAACACATTTTATAATGTTTTTTTTTTTCTTTTGCATGTGACAATGGTGAATTTCCTCCATATTCAAGTGCAACTATCTATATTTAGTGGAGTTAACAGTTAAAAAAAAAAAAAATCCTGAAACTAAACCTCCCAACTGCTTATGTGGAAGAATAAAAATTTCCAGCCAGACTGAATTTTTGCATAAAAGTCTAATTTTGAACAAAAATATACTACACCTTCTGGTGTGTTCAGAAAAATGGGAATTTCTAGTCAATTTTCTCGTTAGTGAATGCATTTTCATATGGCTGCAATAGGGAAACTTGAGCAGGAGCTCAGGTTTGATGCAGTGGTCTTTCACTTTACTGTTCATGCTGAAAAAGATGTAATGAAAGGTTTCTCGATAGTTCCATGGGATGCCACAGATGATGCAAGAGAAAAGGATGAAACATGTATTATGCATGCTCTAAATGGCTTAGTAGAAAGGAACAGATATCAGCCACTCATCTACCGACTCATTAATTCTGTAATTTGTATGAAGTACTGCAAATGGAATGGGTCTTGAAAAGGAATTTGAAGCTTTGGACAAACAACGATATTATGGGCTGGCTTTGGTATCCCCATTTAAGGTGAAGATGAAAGCCAATGTTTGGATGAGGTTGATACGACTGCCGCTGCAGTGGGAGTAGAAAAATAAACAGTTATTAACGCAACCTTGAAATTGGGATTCTAAGACTGAGAAAAGTGACACATTAAAGGAGGGCACAAAGATGCAAACAAGAAAAAACGGTGATTTTTGTCATTTGAATGACAAAAAGCAGCAGTGTTCTAGAAAGTCTCTAATGCTTAGTCCTTTCTGTCAATGTACAATAATGTATTGGATTAGCTTTTATCTAGAGGTATTTGGGTGGATTAGGAAACTGCATCAAATATTTTAATTAAATGCTTTTGATTTAAAACTTCCTTTCAAAGACTTTGTATGGTTTCATTGTTGTTTATTTTCTGCTGCAGATGTTGCCAGCCAAGCTTCAATTAAGGCGAGTCCAACCTTTTCTATTCTGTCTTTCCTTTTGTATTGCCAACTGCACTGCTTAATGCATGCTCTAAGCAAAGTCGTACAGACAAACCGTACTGAAAGATCATCGTGCTTTTCCTGTGGCTGAAAGAGAGGAGTTATTTTCTGTGTGTAGAGAGAGCCAGCAATGGCTCTAGCTGTGTGCTTGGTGTGTGATGCTGAACAAACATCCAAACTGCTCTGGAATGAGGCTAGAAATGGCGTGAGCTGTATTTCTAGTGATATTTCAAAAATGTGCTTCTGATCCAGAAGAAACTCCCATTTCTGGTAACTTCTGAGTTTGATAATTATAATAATTAAGCCAAGTCCTTTGAGACTCAGAAAAATGATTTGATTCAATGGCTGAGAAGTCAGCTTCGTTCATGTTTAATCAAATAAGCTTCTCTCTCCTTAGTAAAGACCCTTTTGGAAAACATAGTAGCCAAAAATAACTAAATGCTTCATTAATTCTCTACAGCCCGCATTCCCAGTTCCCCGCAGAAGAAGCGATTGGCTGATGCAGCGTTAGACATTATTGCTGCCATCCCTGAGGAGTGTGCTTTTGTGGTTCGTCCCTTGCACCCAAATCACTCCTCAGTTACTCCACTCTGGCCAATTGCTTTCACCTCCTGCTGGCACTTCTAGGGCTGTATGTTATATTGAAGAGCATAATATAGAGTCCTCCCCTGCAGCGGGCAGCAATTTGCAGCTGTATGCAAATTAAGTGCGTATTTCTTTTCTCATGAATAATGGCCTTTGCAGTGAGTTTTGAACTTTCTTCTTGCCTTGGGAGCAGATCTCTGAGTGCAGCAAGGGATGGGGGGGAGAGTGTGAGAGCCCCAGCTACCAGACAATCAAATATGAACGAACTGTTTGCAGGACCTTGATGGCCTCCGAGAGAGCCCTCCGTTGACTGTCCTCCTCCGTGCATTTCAGAATGAGTGCATGAAAATCTGGTCCCTCCTTCGCAGTGGGAAGTTCTCCTGTCACACTAACAGGCAGCCCATCAGAGGACCCGATGGCAGGAGGGACCTCAACAAGTGCCTGATGTGCCAGCGGCTGCTGTGAGTATCGGCCCCTCGTAGCCCTGGGCCAGCCAGTGCAGTTTGCAGTTGCCCAGCAAACCAGTGGATCCAGCAGTGTTTTGTTTCTCTAGAGGATGTTGAATAGGATGGGAACAACTGGATGCTAGGCAGTGAGAAATGATGGCAAAATGCCACCAGTGAGGAGATGCTGAATACCCTGAGCATGTCTCATGGGGCTGGAGTCCTGTTCTGTCCCATTGCATTGCACAACAAGGAGGTGGGGTTGGCAGGGCTGCTTTTAATCACCGGTTATTTTGGCTTTACGTCTGAGCACTGCGCGCCACTCTGTTGCTCACACCTCCCTTTCTTGTAGGGAAAGATACTCCAGAAACAAAGGGAGTGGTGAAGAAGCAAACAGGAACGTGAACTCTGGAGAGGTGAGGTGAAACATCGCCACTCAGCTGGCCAGCAGCAGGGTGATGCTGTGGGGTGGCCCCTCTGCTTTCTGGCCTGTTCCCTGCCTGCAGTGTGGGGTACGCCAGCTTAGCCAATGTGCATAGGTCTGGTGATGCTCAGGGCAGAGCAGCTGGAGCAGCAGCAAGCTTTGTGCTATCTGCCAGAGTAAAAGAAACCTAAACCCTGTTCACCCAGTCTCTATCGGGCAATTACTAACACAGCACCCATGGTCTGTGTTTGGCCAGAGCATAGGCTAAGGAAGGTTCCTCCTGTTTATAAAGCACACGGTTGGCATCTGGCAAGTAATTAGCGATGGCGCATGAGAGCTCTGACTAGGGCAGGGTGTGGGACAGGCTGGATCTAATTGTGCCCTGTTTATCTTGTTGATGCACATGGCTGGTTTCTTTCACCCACAGCTGTCTCTCTAGACAACATACCTTTATGGAGAGGGACTTGTCTTTTCCAGTCTTGGGTTTTCATTCAGAATTGGAGTGAGCTGCTTTCCATCAGATAGCATTGGCTGTTGTGATTTATACTTTTACACCTCCTGGCTAAGCAGGATAACTTTCTGGCTCTGCTGTGTCCAGGCAATTTAAATGATTTATAAAGCATAGCTGTTCTAGGGAAATCTTTTTTAAACATCTGACTTGCCTACATGTGGTCCTAAAGGCAGAAGGACTGTTCCAGAGTGTCAGGCAGAGACCTACTTTGGACTTCATTGTTCAGCCACCCATTCAGTGTGGCTTTTGGCAATGAATGCTCTGGACTTGACTTTTCCCTACCTGCAGAACAGGGATAAGCTATCAAACCATCTCCTGTGAGGGGAGAAGAAAAGAAACCTTAAACGTGCTGAATAAAGGAGCTTTAAGACTCAGTATAGCATGGGTGATGCTGATGTCCCAGCCCTGTTTGTAGGTCCGGAAGGTCATAGGAAAACTGCTCAGAAGAGACAGAAATGCTTAAGAAGGTTTTACTGCAAAAGTCTTGTGATGTTAACACAATGCCACGTTGGGTAGAAGGTACAAATGCCCCCTCCTATCCCTGCATACTTGGAAGCCTGAGCTATGGAAGGGTTTTTTGTTGTCTGCAGCCTCTTTGCTGCCCTCTGCTTTTTAAGATTCTGGGTAGTGTGCTCCCTCAGCAGTTTGAGAAACCAACATCTTCATGCAAAATTAAACAAGAAGGTGTTGCTTTTATACTTAGAGTAGAATCTAAGTTCTTCAGGCAGGCTTTTGTGTGTCTCCTCTATTAGAAATAAAACTCCCCTGGATCGGAAGACAAATGTGCTCAGCCAAGAACACAGATTTATTTGCTTTACATTGCGTGTTAAGGTTTAAGAAAAACGCACCAGGCAAACAATTTATGGTTTGCCACTGAGTTATGCCTGAAGGAAACACAACTGCTAGAGATGTAATTGATTGGGCGGTGACGCTGTGTGGATTCATGGGAGATGCATCTTGGTCAGCATATCTGTGTGAAACCACATTTCTGGTGCTGCTGCAGGATGAGTGCCGGGAGTTCCGGGATCTGTTCAAGAATGGGAAGCTTTCCTGCACGAGAGAGAACGATCCCGTCCGGGATTCCTCGGGGAAGCAGCACAGCAACAAGTGCATCATGTGCGCAGAGAAGTTGTGAGTAGAGGAAACCACTGTTTGTTATTGAGAGTGGTAATGGGGCCGGGTTGGGCTCCTGCAGCAGTGTTCTCTTCACTTTCTCATCCTTCTTCGCTTTCAGCAAAAGGGAGAATGAGCAGAAGGCAACTTCAACCAGAGGGAAACAAAAGGTGAGATTAAAGTATTGGGTCAATATACAAATCTATAGGATTCTCACCCAGTATTACCACGCTCAATTTCTTTGTCACTTTGGAGATCCACATGGCTTTCCCTGCCTGTTTCTCACTGATGCCCTTTTGTGCCCTGAGTGAATAGTTTGTTTGAATGCTGTGGTCTATCCCACTGACTGCAGTGACATGGGGACAAACCCCATCACAATAAGAAGCTGAGCAGAGCTGCCCTGACATCTGGCACGAGGGCAGAGAAGGCACTGCTGCTGAGAGCACTAATGAGGTTGAAAAGAAAATCTGGGTGAAAAGCTTTAAATGTGAGCTCTGAGATGCTCAAAAGTTCGTTATGTCGTGGGAGGAGAGTTCAGTCCTGTGCTGTCCCTAGGGTGGCTCGGTTTCAGCTTTCCCTGATTGGAAACCTCACTCTCATGACGCAGCCACTGTGACCTTGTGCACTGATACTTCTCTGGTGAGAGCAATTCAGCAATGTGGGGGAAAAAAAAAAAAAAAGCACTAAGTAAATCTTGCCATTTCTGTCTTGCTAGGAACTGGTATGGTCCCCTTAAGCCTCATTCTTGGGGATAATCCTGTTTCAGTGCTTTTCCTAATAACAGTGGCACACACAAAAAAAAAAAAAATGGAAGCATTAATGAAACTTGCTGATGGCAAAGCTGGGAGGGAGGATCAGCAGATCACTCAGGACTAATTGGATAGCACTGAGGCCTGGAGTAATAGAAACAAGATAAAATGTAATAACAGAGAGTGCAAGATCACACAGGCAGTGATTAACGAGAATTCCTGCTCATCAATTAGAAATGACAAAGGATAAGAAAGCTCTGCATTTATTAGTGGGTCACGGATGCAGCAGGCCTGCGAAGGAGGCAAATGCACATCTCAGCAAGGTTTGTGCAGCAGAGGTTGGGCTGACAGCAAATCTCCAGAAATACTGCTTTAAAGGGAGAGGGCTTGAGAGATACTATTAGGGAGAAGCAGTTCTGCCACAGTAGGTCTGGGGTTCACCTGGGGTTTGGCTCATTGCCTCACTGTGTCCCTCCTTCACCCTGCCAGTGTCGCACTGGGAAGGTGTGGGTAAAAAGTAATGGTTAAGTTATGATGCTTATGGTTAAGATCTGGTTATGCACCTCCTGTATCTGCTATTTGGAGTTGGCTTACTTGCAGGGCCTCAGGTAGCTGACTTAAAAATGGGGACTTTAAAGCATGTTTGTATTGTGCTGTCGTGCTTTAGATGTTGCTGCTTGGTCCTCAAGGTGCTGTTGGTTGTGGGGGGGGACTTCTCGCTTCCAATGTGAATTTTTCAACTTCAGAAAGAGCTGTATTAAGGGCAGTGGGAGAAGTGGGAGGGACCCCGTTACCACATCACTAGCACGCTCTGGATAGCCCCACGTGGAGCATGACAATTAGAGCATGGCAGAGAGCTCCTAACACGTGCCGTGCAGACAGAGGCACCTGTCTCTTTTCTGACTCACTGTTTGCAGCCATGTGGCTGTGCCACACACCCTCTTCTATCTCTCACACCCGGGCTCTCCTGTGGTGCGTTTGGGAAGTCTCTGAAGATGAGAGGGATGTGGCAGGGTGCCCTAACTGCTGCTCCTTCCATAGGATGACTGCAGTGAGTATCGTTCCCAGTTTGAGGCTGGCGGGCGGCTGTCCTGCACACGGGAGAACGACCCTGTCCGGGATTCCTCCGGCAAGCAGCACACCAACAAGTGCCTCATGTGTGCCGAGAAGCTGTGAGTACAGTTCCTGGCAACAGCAAAGAGGGAAAGCTCACGCTGCAAAACTGCAGCTTCTGCCTGTGTGGCTGCACCTGGGCAAGTCCCGAATCCCAGCAGCCCCCCAGGAGCTGCTCCTGCAGTAGGGCCGTGGCTATTGCCCCTCTTCCCACCCTCCCCCTTAACCCCTCAGGGAGCAGAGGAGAAGCAGGGTTGATAGAGAGCAGCCCTTTTCTTGGGGCAGCTCCCAAGGGGTTTCCCACGCATGTACTTTGCCTTCCAGATGCTCTCTCTCTACTCCCATAGAGCATATGCAGAAGCAGCCCTGATATGAAAGCAGCCACCTGGAGCCGGGATGTAGCGTACAGTGGGAATGGTGAGGAGAAGGGAAAAGGCTTAGGGGTGGGAATTAGGTGCAGGGCCACCAGGGATGGGGAGGCTGGTGCCTAATGACATGATACTGGCTTGCAGGGCAACCCAAGGTCCTGGCAGCATTTGCACCGCCACAGTGCTCTTTTCTTTCTCCTCTCCTCTTTTTCCAGCAAAAAAGAAGCTCAAAGAGGAGGTCAGTCTGGAACTGCCCAGCGCAACAAACAGTCTGCTGCAGAGTGTGCAAACCAGGTGAGACTGAGCTCAAAGCATCACCAGGCTTGGGAAAAGGGGTCAGTGGGTCTGGGGACCCTGACGGTCAAGGGTTACCTGTGGTCCTGGTGCTTGAGGTGCAGGAGCCTGCTGGCGAAGGCAGAGAGGCAGGTTGCATTACAAGCCCTGCTAGTTAATGGGATTGTGTATGAGCATATGTAGTGGGCAGTTCTGGACTCCTCTATAGTGCAAGCATCAGAGCTGCTTCTTCATAAAGAGCCCCATGGTTCCTAGGGTCTAGGGGGATGAGAAGGAGGGACAGGAGCTGCTTTAATCTCACTGCTTTGCTGCTTGGTTTTAAAACACGATCCTGTCCATTTTCCAGAGGAGCTGCAGTGGCTCAGGGTTACAGCAGGGTATGAATGAGAGACGGCCATTCTCCACAAACAGAGGGTGAGTACAGCAGCACTGGGATCCCAGCCTGGCCCTGCAACTCCTGGGGTCTTGACACTGGGAGAAAACATATAGAATAGGGCATATGCATGACCCTCTTTCCTTTTCAAAGGCATTCTTGCTTCCCCTGCGCACAAAGCAGTGGTGACTGCTGCGCTCAAAATCCCTCCCTAGCCTTGCCCCCTGAATCCTGCCTCCTGGCAGGCACACTCCTGTCTTGTTGCCTGGCCCAGTGCATCCTCATCTGCTGACCTGAGGCAGTGCTGTGTGCACCATGTGCTGTCTGGGCACTGAGCAACCCTTCTGGGATTTTAGGCCTGCAAGACTCTGGCAGGGCTCAGTTGCTGTGTTGTCTAAGCCTTGAGGAATTCTGTTAATCTTCCTGCTTTTTGCTGGTGCAGCCCATTCATCTGCCCCCAGCCAGCACTGCCAGCAGACAGAGTGCAAAGATCTCCATAGCAGAAATGGCTGTAGCACATTCAGGGACCAGGTTTCTGGGATCATCGCTATGATGGGCATCTGTTGCTGACCACCCCTAAGGACTCAAAGGTCCTGTTGCAGGGATTCCCTCTATCCCACGGCAAGCCAAATGCCCTGTTGAAAAACAAGGTGCAAAATAATGGCAGTGCACCTTAGTGCAGTTTAATTCCACCCTGGGGTGATGATGTGGCTGAGTGCATCTGCACACCTGTGGCTGTGCCATGAGCTCTGCGCTTTCTCTCCCTGCCAGCCCACAAGGAAACTTGGCTCAGGACTGCAGCCCGGCACCTGGCCGCCAGGGACAGAGCGGAGGCACCAACACCTACCAGCCGGTATGCCCAGCTCCCACGGGTCAGGCACAGCCTTTCCCAGCAGCTGCCCCAGTTTCTGTTGTCAATATCTAGCCTCACACTGAGACTTGTGTCCTTGGAGGGGTTTAAGTGGGTGGTAGAGTCTATACCCTGATGCTGTCCCCTGGCATCAAAAAGGAGTGAGGCTGGATGCGTCCAAATGGGAGTCTCTGAAGCCAGTGCTGCTGCTGGAGTTGGCTCGTTGTAGAAGTAAGTCAGGTATGGGAGAGCGTCCTCCAGGAGGTGATGGTGGTGGCTCTTCTTGAATGCTGAGATGTTGGGTTAAAGACCATGGCCAGAGCAGGGTGCTGGGGCTGACTGGGGGGCTGGCAAGAGGAGGGGAGAGGGAGTAGTGGAGGAGGACACACTGAGCAATAGATAACGACTGTATGTGGAATCGTGTGGGAGGGAGAAGAAGGTGTATGCTCTCTCCATCTCCACAAGAAGAAAATTTGTTATTTTTAACGAAGCTAAACTAGAAATTATGAAACTAATAGGAGAAAATAAGTTACTATAAAAAGGATGACTAACCTGTGGATCTTGCTGTCACAGGGTGTTGCCAAGAGCTACAATGATTAAAAAAATGACTTGCCACTTATAGTCCATACAGCAATTTAGTACCATTTTGGAAGGGATAGGAAATGCCTTTCTGTGGGGCTGGAGGGACTGACTGCATACTGCCTTAACTCTCTCTGAAGTGTCTGTCACCGACTGCTCTTAGAAAAATGATATTAGAATAGAAAAAGCTGGGAGGTGGTTCAGATAGGGCAGTTTTAATGCATTCCAGAGGAAGCATTAGGCATAATAATGCCAGTCTGCTTCAGGGCTTAGTGGTATTTCCTGATAGGTCTGGTGAAGGAGTGGATGCTGATCAGCCTGACTGACAAGGAGTGATTCAGAGAGCAAACCTGCCCCTCTCCTCACTCCAGGCCACCCGGGAGCTTTGTCCCAGGGCAATGCTGTCCTGAAGGAGAGGCAGCAGTCACTGTGGGGGACTGCTGGTGTGGCTGTGGTTGTACACGTGTGGGTCACACCGTGGGCAGCGGTGTCTGGTGTGTGGGAAGGCATCTGGCAGGGAACTGCGAAGGTCAGCACTGTGTGTCTTCGTGTCATCATTAATTACCCAGATGAGGGAGGAAGCAGCACATTAATGAAATTAGCAAGTGATGTTTAAACAGAGGGTGTTACTGCAGCACCCCGTGCCACTGAACCCCCTGCGTTGCCCAGCTGGGAAACCTTTGTTCTCCATAGTGCTTTCAACCCCGTAGTGCTGCTGACCCCAGCAAAGCAATGAGCCATTGCTCTGTGCTGAATGGTGTTTGTCCAGGTGAGACAGGAGGCAAAATGTCCTGCCTGCAGCTCTTCTCCGATTGCACCATTTGCAGTCATTGCAACACCTTTTATAGGACCTGGAGAAGGGGATGGGAACACAGAATTCACTTCTTTTGTCTCTGCATATTTTTTTTTTTAATTTTTTTTTTTTTTTTTTTTTTTTTTTTTTTAAGCCTTTGGTGCCCACCTTCAGCAGAGGTGGGCAGTGAGACTGAGGAAGAGAGAGGGCTGTAGGATCTCCGACCTCTGCTGTCCGAAACTTGCCATGACTCCACAGGCACCTGTGTGCCAGTGTGCTTGTGGGGTGACAATCTAATCATGAGGAGTCTTGTTTCTCCTGCTCTGAGCTCCTTCTAGCTGTGCCACGTCTGCTTTGTAGGAAAATCAATGCCTAGATGCTCCTGCTGTCATGCTCGAGAAGAAACGAGAGGGCACGCTTAATTAGTCAGAGCTATTCATACATGTTTGTATCTCTTCGTTCTGTGGGTGTCAAGTCGTGCTGCGTGTCGGGCTGCCCTTGGGCGGCTGGACTTGATTGTCGAGGTTTTCCCTTCGTTTCTGCCAAGTGTCTTGCAGAAGCAACAAGCGTGAAAGCCCTGATAAAGGACTAGGGACAGGTAGCAGACGTTTCTTGTATGCTTGTGGATTTGCAGGGAGAGATAAATGTGCCCTGGACTGAGATGTCAGGGTGGATCAGATGAGTGGGTCTGTGCCTGGAAGTGGGGTCAGGGTGGCTTTGTCCCCAAATCATAGCTGCTTGGCCCAGGAGGAGTTGTTATTTCTTTGCTGAAGGTGTGATGAATGTGCTGCAGGGCAGAGGGGCTCAGGGCAATGCCTGGTTTGTGAGCCCTTTAAGTTGTGCCTAGAAGGGTCTTGCAAAAGAACCAGCACCAAATGTGTTTTCTTTCTCTCTTCAGCTGGACTGTGATCGAATTCTGCACGGGGTAAAGGGTGGAAGGATTTTCTGCAGCGAATCCTCACAACCCGTCTGTGGCACTGATGGGAAAACATACAAAAATGAATGTGACTTGTGTTCAGCTGCCATGTGAGTAGGCGGAGAGATTTCAGTAATACAGGGCCATCCACCGTTCCCGAGTGTCTTTTGCAGCACACTGTTTGTTTTGATATATCATGACTCACTATCAAGTGTGTCCTTGGTGCCTCGCTGTTAAGCAAACATAGATCAAATGTCTGAGATTAATCTGATGACAGCTAATTAAGATACACAACTTTCCAGAGTCCCTTATTCCCTTTCTGCCCAATCATAGGATTGTATGGGGAGTAATAAATGCCATCAAATTGGAAGTAGCATCAAAGCTTTAAGGAGCCCACAGAGGACTGCCGTGATGATGTCAGAGAGCTGTGGCACTGGAAGTGAATAAGCAATGTCTTGTCCTCCCTTTGCAGGAGAGCATCAGTTTACATCACGGTAAACTATCGAGGTGAATGCCGAAAGACTGTCCCTGAAATGGTAAGTGCCTCCCTGCTATGGCATCCTGTTTTCTGTTCTGGGTGTGTGCTGGAGTCCCAGCCTGGATCCTGTATTTATGGTGGGATCATCAGAGCCCTGTTAGCAGGGTGCATGTAGTCCACGTGTGTAAACATACTTCAGATTCGGATTTAAGTCATTTTGAGGCATAATTTCCATGTTTTATCCAGACTGTATGGTAGGAAAGTGACATGTCTGGGAAAGCATGTGGCTTTTCTCCTGGGATTTTGGTGAGGCCAAAAAAGACTGCAATTGTATAAATGATAAGGATCTAATTTCCCAAATGATATCCAGGGATTTGGTTGGGAAGGAAATGTATTCCCTAAGTGGTATTCTTTCGGGAAAAGTCTTGAGTCTTGTGTGATTCTCCTATAGTAGATGAGTCAAAGATTTGTCAGTGGTGCTTTGTCTTCCTACACATGGCAGCTCAGCAGCATCCAGAGCTTTGATTTGGAGCCTGTCCTAATTTGTGTGTTTTGGGTGTATGGGACTGACCTCAGTGTTGGCATGGACTGCTGAGAAACTGAATATTCATCCCCAGGGAAACATTGAAGTTTACTCCAATTCCATACCTGGAATGAATCAAAATACCAAATCAGCTAAATGGAGAAGTTGTGCAAGATTTTATTTTTTTTTTTCAATGAGAGAGATGGCTTCTGAATATGAATTTGCTGACAGTGTTTGTAGGTAAAACAGTATTGCCTGTTGAAAAGCTTTAGAACAAAATTACCATCATAAGGCTTTTACTTTGCTCATTGCCAGGATATCCACCCATACCCAAAACTTTAGAAATGAGGCATTCCCATTCCTCTTCCTCTCTTCTGTGAGGTACCAGAGTGCTCTCAACACTGTTTAAAGCTGGAGAAAAAGTGAGAGAAAAACAGTTTTGCTTGTGATCATGCTGTGGAGGTCTGTGTGTCTTGTTCTTTGGTGTGATGAAGCCATTGCTGGTTCATGTGTGCTGGGAGTGGAGACACTATGCATACCTGTTGGTGGCTGTGCTTGTGCTGCTGGAGACAGACAAGATTGGGTGTACCATGGCAACTGAAAACCAGACATGATTTCCTCAGAGTTGTGCCTGGGCTGCGATTCCTCACCATTCTGTGTTTTACCAAGATGTTACAGCTCTTGGGTCTCTGCAATTAGAGGAATATGCCATAATGCCAGAAGTCAGACAATTTGTAGCTATTCCAAGGAGAGCTGGAAGCAATTAAAGTGGAAGTGATAAGATTTTTCCACTGGGGAAAATCTTCCACAAAAACACCCCTCCAAACAAAGACTTATTATTTCTTTCTTTATGTATATTGTGTCACCTGAAGAATCAGATTGGAAATTTATGGAAGCCCATTTCCTTAGCAAACCCCTTGTGTCCATCAAAGACTTCCCTTTTTTCTCAGTTGGAAGCTTATGGACAATGTACTGATCAGTGTTATTTTCTGCCACTTGAAATTCATGCTAACATTCAGCTTAATGCATCCTTCTGAAGGCCCAGGCACTCACTGTGTGGAGGAGATCACAGTGCCTTTGGCATCAGAAATGGTTTTAGGCTGTTGCAATGTGCAGAACAAAGATGTGAAGGCCCAAAGGCTTGAGTCTTGGAAAAAATTTTGCTGCCCAGAAGTGTAGTTTGTCCTTGAGTTGTGTTTTGAAATTAGCCACGGTAATGCTGTGCTGCCTGAGAAAACGTGTGTCCAAGCTCAGAGCCTGCAGCCATTCCTTCTAGCAAAGCTCCCCCTGGATTTCCAAGTTTGTGGCAGTCCTTCCCTAACAGCAGCTGGATTGCCATCAGGGAGGGATGGCTGTAGGAAGGGACAGGAGAAGAAGTCTGGCTGGACAGAGATCTGACGATAAAGGGTGTGACTGGACAGCATGCACTGATGTGGTGGAAAACCTTCCTGCAGAGAGCCCTGGGGCTGGCTGGCAGCAGGGCCCTGCTGCATGTGTGAGGTCTGAGCCATCAGCAGCCAACTCTGATCCTGTTCTGCTTTACTGCAGATGAATGTAGCAGAGTCCAGGGTTTCGATTTTTATTTTTATTTTTAACAAGGCAGCTGGCCACTGTGCCCTCCATGTGTCCATGTGACATACAGCTGTATTAATGGTGGGTCTTTCCAGAATGTTTAGCTTTCAGTGCTGTATTTTTTTTTTCTTGCAGTTTCTCTTTTTGTTCAGCTGCTTTTTCACAGATCTCCCATGTGATAGACACCAGTCTGTCCATGTTAGTTAAGAGGTCAGGCAGAAAAAAGGATATCCAGTTTCTCCTTTTTAATCTGTTTTCTAAAGAATAGAGAACTCCCAGATTTCTAATGGGCAAGGCCATTTTCTTACAGTGCTCTTTTTGTCATGCCTTTCTTAAGAATGTAGAAGAAGGGGAGAAGAAAAGAAAAAAAACCAAACAAACAACAAACCAGGACCTTTTCCAGCTAGATATTGGTTTTAGAAAGCACGTAGATCCAGGCTGAAATTTGTCTGTTTTCTGAGGCTAACAGTGACCCATCCACTGCCCCAGTGCCACTCTGCATCCCAGCTGGTTCCTGTGGCCACTGAGCTGTCTGAAGGGGCTGTCGTCTAGGTCCTAATGCTCTGCCAGCCTAACAACAGTAGTTGTGCTTGTGGATAGACTTATTTTGCTCTTTCTTTCCAGAAATAATGGAGTTCAGACTGCCAGCAAATACCAGGGATCAGCTGTGACCAAAGGTACAGTGGTGCGGTGATTTGCTCCCTCTTGGACAACTTGTCCACATTTCACAAGGGTTTGGGTGTCAAACCTTGCCTGGGCAGGCTGTGGGGTATGTCTGGGGCAAAGGGCTCTGCAACACACCCTTCCCTATTGCCACAGCACGACGATGGGGTGTGTGTCTTCTGCAGAAGTAGCAGGGTGAAGGGAAGCCCCTGCTGAGGGGGCTGAACCCATTGGGATGCAAATATCATGAAGACTTCATCTCTACTGGGCTGGGCCTTGCCCGTTCCTTTTCCCCTCAGGTATCCCTGCAGAGGGAAAGGATGCTGGCAGAGCAGAGTACTGCAGTTCCCTATCACAAGGAGGTGGAGGTGGCCCAAAGCAACCCAGCTTTGAGCTTTCCTTGTGGTTCTTCTATGTCCCTTGCCTTTTGGAACTATAGTAATAAACCATCTGCCCCCTGTTTCTCTAGGACAAGTAAAGGAAGATCTGATGTCAAGCACCAGGGAAGCTGCTGAGTTCCCAGTGCTGTTGGATTCACCTTCATCCCCTTCTGCAGCCAACAGGCCTGTACTTGCTCAGGTGGAGGGTGAAGGGCTGTGGGGACCCAGTGGTGGCTTCCCGCGTTGGCCCCACGCATGTTGTTGTAGTCGCTGCTCGGCTCGGGCTCTGCCGCCTCGCTGTGTCTTAGCATGTTTCTACAATAAAGATAACTCCACAGCGTGCTGTTGCTTTTCTTCACTGAGCCTCACAGGAGGGACGCGTGAGTCCCCGGTCCGGCTGCTCGCCACGCGTCCCTTGAGCACTAAGCACCAAACCCAAGTGAAGATGTCAGACACAGAGAAGAAGAATGTGGTCTGGGTTCTGTTAGCGGGGACCAGCAGTTGGGTTCTCTGGCTCGCTGTAGGGCCTTGGGTGTATCTCCTTGTCTCCCTTCAGCCCTTTTCTCTTGCCTGTAAAAATGGACATTAAAAGATGCTTACCTACCTCAGAGGGTTGTTTGGAGATTTTAATTGGTTTGCATTTAGAGAGCCCACAGATGGAACTCTATTCCTACGCACCAATCCTGGAGTGCAGGACATTTAACTGTTGCAGTCATGCCTCTTCCAGCCAACACCCGATGGGCCATGTGTATTTCCTGTTCTTTCGTTTATGCTGTTACTTAAAGCAAATATGTTCTTATTTGTGTAAACTTTATTGCAGGACATTTCCAGAAGACCTTGAGTGAACGTACAGTGTTTGAGTCCACTTTAGCTGTGACCTGATCTGCAAATACTCTCTGTTGTAGATAAGGCCAGAGTGACTTTCAGGTTTTGGCAGAATTTCACTCAATGCCAATTAATTTGGCTCCCTCCACAGATATTGATTTTTTTTTTTTTGTTCAATTAAGTTATCACGATCTTTTTTTTCTTAATGCAGCTAATGAAAATCGATTTTTTTACTCTCATAAAGTACTTCCGCATGTATCACATTTATCTGTCTATAGCTTGATTATCAGCAGGCTTTGACACAAGATTAATATTTTGTGTGCCGATTTTTATTTTTTTTTTTAATGTGTGCAAACACTGTGGTTTAGAAATATGTTATTGCTACTTATTTCTACGTGGGAAAATCCCACCTCACAGTTATGCATGGCAGAAGTCACCAGTTGGATCCAATTTAGCTGTTTCTAGGGATGCAAGATTCCTCTGCCTTTGGGCGGGTGAATCCTTGAATGTTATTTATACCTTCCGAGAAGAATGAATATGAGATGGTAAAAATGTGCACTAACGATGTCTGCTCACTGATTCCAGCTAAAATCGTGTGCAGGGACCTCTATGTGATTTTGTAAAAGCAGTACACGATTTGAGGCTTAAAATAGGTTCTTGCAAATGAAAATCGGCGCACTTGAGAGCGCTATTATAACTTGCAGTGATTTCAAGCATTTAGATTTTGAAATAATCATCCATAAAACCTGCATTAATTGTCCTCCAAAACCAATGAGCTGATGAGGAGGGTGCCCTAGTAGCCTCTTCTGCTGGATTTGAGCACCTTCTGAATTTCTCCTGCTACCAGCAGAAATTATGCACAGAAATCATAGGGTTTATTAATCAGATTACAAAACTGCTAAGAAGGCACACAACAGCATGCACTAAAGCTGCCTGTGCTGTAGTTAGTGAGCCCACCATAGGTAGCAATGCTAACTCCTTCCTTTTAGCAGGTTTACCCACTGCTCCTTCTTCCATCATTCCTTCCTCTTGTAGGGCCTGCTTTTGCAGTTTGATCCGGTGGCTTGCAGGCGATGTCTGTCCCCAGCAGTGCTCTAAGCAGCTGACCTCCAGGAAGGGCTCCGGGTGAGCGATGCAATATGTCATTTCCACAGGGTTCCTAAGGAGGAGGCAAAAAGATCAAGAGGTGCTCCAAATATATTATCCTGTCCTCTGTTTTGCTTTTGGTTGCTCTTTGTGGTGCCCTTTAACACTGTAAAGAGACCGTAGCAGTCCTCTATGAACCTGGAAAGGTATCAGCACTCTGGGAAGTCTTCAGTTTGCTGTAAATTGCACTTTATTACAGATGTTTCTTCTGCCAAGACCCACTGACCCCATGTGGCTCACAGTGTTTTCTAAGGCTTTGCAGGACTGGTGTTATGAATTGGCAGCCTCCAGGCCTCTCACAAATCTCCTGCTTCTCACAGCGTTTCTTCAACTTCTCCCAAGCACAGCTGGGTTTTGAGCTCAACTGCTCCCTGCAGGGGCTTGAGCCTCCTGCTTTTTTGCATAAAAGGTGTCAGGTACTTATGCAATCCTTAAGGGCATGCAAATGCTGCTCTGAGGACTGTTGATTCTGGCAAAACCCTTTGCAGACCTTGTACTCCCTTGCTATTTCCCAATCCCTGCAGTCTAGCAGCTCTGCCCACCAACTCCCATGGCCAACACAGCAGCAGTCTGTGCATGCTGCAGCGCGATGTGGAAAGCGATGATTGTATGAAAGTGTGATGCTGTGGTACTGCCTCTGCAGGAGCCTGTTTGCGTAGGAGGACCCCGTGTGTGTGCTGCAGAGCTGTCTCGTGGCTGTCCATACATCCCTAGGATGCTGAACCCTTCCAAGCAACCGCAGCATACGGATCCCTGAGGGTTTCAGCCTTGTCTCCCTGGATTATCACAGGTTCAGCTCTGTGGTCCATCTGATTTATACTTGGGGTCTGATGAACAGGCTTTTCTCTCAGGTCTTTAGGGCTCCTATTTAGCCCCTTTTGGTACATTTCCCTGCCCTACAAGTCTCCCTGCTACACAGAGCTCTTGTCCAAGATTTGGGACCTGCCCTACTTCAGCCCTCTGCAGGAGACTTCTTGCTAAGCAGCCCTCCAACCAGGACTGCAGTACATCTCAAAGAGCTGGAAGAGGTCTACAGTACTTCCTCAGCATGAAGGTATGAGCGCTCTTTTTGAGTAGGTCACTGAAGGCAGTAAGATGTCAATACAACCAACTGCAAAATACAAAACCACAGGAAAATTCACAGTTTACCTTGATGCTGAAGGGCTGAAAAGAAACACCGTGCTGTTAGCACAGGCACGCTGCTGGCAAAGTGAAAATGAGCAAAGAGGATGAGATGGACAGACAGCTGATGGAAAAAGCTCTTCCTAATTGCTCCACAGAGCAGCTAGCTTGCCTGCAGGGCTGCAGCATGGGGCTGCTTGTGCATTATGCAGAGACCCCAAGACCGGTGCTGTTTGCCTTAGCAAAGGCATAGCTACAGCTGCAGCGATATTTTCTAGATGTCAGTTCCTTCCCTACATTACTGACAGGTGTTTGCTGTTCTGTCCCTTTAATCTGTATCCTATAGCAAACATTCCTTGAATTTAATAACTTAGCTGGAAGACAATTGCTGTGATCTTGATAGAACATGCTGAGTCAATCTATTTTAACTGCAGATTTAGTTTGCAAATACTGTCTCCTTGTCGATAAGATTCAGGTGTCATCTTTGTGGACATTGGCAGGAATTTTCTTGACCGTGACAGGCTTTACAGAGTCTGGCAATTAAGCTGTCAAGACACATTTTCCTCTGCCAGGAAGCACTAATTGATGATAGTCTTGGCTGCAATAGGCACAGAGAGATGGATATTGTAATCAGAATGAATAGAGGTCCTTCTAGTTGAGAGCTACATTGGTCCAAAGGTTTGGAGTCCTTGACATTTGGTGATACTGAGATAAGGAACAAGGCAGGGAGATATCAGAGCTGAATATCAGATGCGGTATGAGAATAGACAGACCTGGAAATGGTTATGTTCTGGCTGGAAATGTTGATATCTGGGGAGGTTTTAACTCTGTGGATGCATACTGCAAAGTACTAATATTAGCAGAGCTACTGGATGTGAGAGCAAATAGAGTTTTCCATTAAGTAATCCCAAAAATCATGCTATTGTTGGTTTGTGAGGGGTGTTGGAGATGTACTTCCCTTAGAAAATAAACCTGATGATTCAACCTGAGCTCGCTCTGTTTAAATCACACTGAAAGTAGATCTGCAAATAGGGATTTTGATTAGTGAGTACAAAATATGAAAGATTAAAACTTGGCAAAGCTAGGATTCTGGTTGAGAAAACTGTTTTGTTTTTGTGTTCAACCTTTACAGTTTATAAAAAATCTACTTAAGGAGAAAAACTCATTTAGAACCCATCCAAGCTGTGCTACTTTAGTACTGGGCAAACCTTCAGGAGATGTTTGAAGAAAACTGAAGACGTGAAGTATAAAGGGATGATTAATGTGCACAGTAAACTTGCTTGGAAGGTAATCACGCATGGGCTAATATCAATCTTTACAAAGTTGGCAGACTTCCTAGATAAAGGGAGTACAGTAGATCTAGTCTACCCAGGCAGCAAAAACATTTGACCTGTTGCCCTGTGGGGTGGTGTCACCTAGGCTTGGTGAGGGAGGTCAGGATGAGGTTATGGGGGATGTGGAAGTGTACCACAGAGGAGCAGGTGGGGTACCCACAGGAGTTAGCAGTGAGCAGACAGAAAAGTGGATCTGAGGACCAAACTTCACATTTTTGTTCCTTGCATTAGTGCATAAAAAGCAGACACACAGAGCAGATTGCTGCTGTTGTTTTTTTTTTTTTTTTTTTTTTTTAAGCAGCAGAAGAGCAGGATTTCTCCCACAGAGAATGGGGTGACCTTCTAGGCTGTGATTGCCTGGGCTCAAGCTGAGATGAAATGCAGTGATGAGGAGCACAAAACCATGCTCTGAGGTTAAATAATGAGGGCTTCTGCTATCCGTTCAGAGCTCAGTTAAAATTGCAGAGGAGGAGGAAGACCTAATTGCGTGTAGCCAGCCATGGGGCAAATGAGAGCTGTGGCACACCGGGGCAGATCCGGGAGCAGAGGGGCCATGGGACGTTCCTTGTTCCCTGGCTCCCCTCAAGACACACAAAAGGCCCCTTCCTGGCAATTGTGCCCACGTCAATCATTAGCTAGAAACCCTGAGCTGGGTAAATACGTTTTTGGCTTCCCGTCTTGATGACAGATTGGGTGTTACATCACAAGGTGGGACCATTTGATATGACAACACGCTATATATTCCTGCTGTTACCTCTGCCCTTCCTCTCCCACTTTGAGAGCAAGCAGGCTGTGTGGGCATCGAGTCGCTCTGCCATGAGGACTGCCAAGCAGTTTGTACAGGTGGCTCTGGCCCTCTGCTGCTTTGCAGGTGAGTGTTTCCTACTATACCACATAGGTGACTATAGCTAGACCAGAGACTAGGCTATCTGTGAGAGTATTTGGGTGTAGCAATGTGTTAGAGAACTTGTTCCGTGAAGGAATGTTCTTTCTGAGAGCACAACAAAACACCAGACTTCAAGATCCAGGCTTCAGCACACCTTATACAGGCGACTGTTTTCATCATGGTTTATAGGAGCAAATTGCTGAGGGAGCAGTGCTAAGTGCAGGGCAGGAGTTTGCACATGGAAGCGCTGAGTACAACAGCGAAGCAAAGCTGTGTGAAATGGCATCTGTGTCCATGTAAGCAACACAAACACTGCATTTTGTATCATCTACAAATTTTCTGTGTTGTTCCTCAACAGTCACCTGAAATGTGCATGTCTGAGCTCTTGGAAGTCAAATACAAAGTCTTGCAGAAGAGTTTAAACTCAGTGCAGGCTTGAAAATACCTACATTTCTTCCCTGAAGCATCTTAAGAACTGGCTAACACACGTGGCCACTGAAAGTGCAATGAAACTTCATTTAATAACCTCTGATTCATGTTATGAATGTACACCACTGGCATAATGTAAAATTGCATTTTCTTAAACCCAATAAGCCAATCAATGACAGTCTCTAAATGTAACTGTTTCATGAAAAGATTTGCATATGACATCTCTGCATATTAGTAATATGTGTTTATTTTCTGTCTCCACTTTTCTTTTAGATATTACCTTTGGAATTGAGGTGAGTTACAGATTTTTTTCCATTTATTCTTTTCTATTCCAGGCTTCTGGTCAAACAAGAACAGTATATAATTACCTGATGAGCAAGTGGATTAATCTAATGAAAGCCTGGTTGCTCAAATAATACTTGCCAGTGCATGATTGAATGATATTGCCAAGTCACGAAAAAGTAAAACACACCCATTTATACTATTTTCTGTTCATGAACTAAAATGAAGAAAGAAAGAATTATGTGATCCTATTATGTTAACTTTTGCATATAACTGAGTTAGTCCAAGTCCAGGAGCAGTAGTTACCTCCTTGAGAGGAAAGCTGTCTTAAGATGATAAGCTTGAAAGCATCAAAGACATGATGCTGGTATCTTTTTCTATACAGTACAGTGTTCCTGCCTATACCCATATCAAAGCGAGGGAAGCAGCAGGGTCTGTGTGGTGCATTTGTCTGCAGGTTCTTCCCACGCAGTTATGAGATTCCTGCAAATCACCAGAGACTGCAGCGTGATTGGAAAAGATCAGATTTTGAGTTGAGCGGCTGCGGAGCATGGCCAGGCTCCCAATTACCAGCTGCCTTCGTTAGGCACTGTCTTACCCACAGCTCTCCTTCCTCCATGTCAAGCCTCCCCCAGTCCTCTGCAGGAAAGCGTGATCAGAAGATTCCTATCTCCTGACTGCCTGAACAGATTCCAAATGATGCCTCAGGTGTTTGTCCTGGCTGGAGCTGTGGGTGGCAGGAGGTTGCCAGGCTGCCTTTCATTGTGGGCGCTGACCCTAGGGCTGACGTTGTGCTGCTTCCACAGGTTGATTGCAGTCTGTATGCCGGCAGCATTGGCAAGGATGGGACGAGCTGGATAGCCTGCCCGAGGAACTTGAAGCCTGTCTGTGGCACAGATGGCTCCACATACAGCAACGAATGTGGGATCTGCCTCTACAACAGGTGAGCTTTGTGGAAGCCCAGGGGAGCTATGGGGCAGAACTGAGGGCGACAGCTCTGTCCCCAAAATGTGGGCTGTGTGGAGGAGTATGCGAGTTAGCACCAGGGTGCTGACCTCCAGCCGGGGGTGGTGGCTGCTCTCTGCAATCTCTGACACAGGTCTGCTTTCTTCTAGGGAACACAGCGCAAACGTGGAGAAGGAATATGACGGAGAGTGCAGGCCAAGGCACATTACGGTAAGTCTAACAGTAAGACAACCAAGGTCTTGCTCTATTGGTGCCCGCAAAGAATTTTATTTCATAGAATCAAGGAACAGATGAGGTTGGAAGGGACCTTACAAATCATTGGGCTCTAATCCCCTGCCCTGGACTGGCTGCCCCCCACCAGATCAGGC